CTGCCCTTGCTAGCAAGAAGTTCTGTGTGTTTCTCTTCTCTGAGTCTTTACTGAAGAAGTGTTTTAGAACATTTTCCCTAACATTTACATAACACCAGAGAGTGTGACATCACAGCATTGTACATTGCATAACTAGCATACCTGTAATGACATGAAGTTATAAAAAAAATAATCAAATTATCTTGGTCATAGCTTCTTTCTGATAACTGTAGATACAAATCGGCAGTGTGCATTATAATGACAAAAATATAACTCACAGAAACCCCTGATGTGATGTGGAGGAGAAGTACAAATACCTGGAGACCATATACACAACAGACTGAATTGGTAGACTAAAAGAGAGGCTGTATACAAGAACCTTTTGGGCAGGCTGTTTTTCTTATGTTTTTCTTATGGAAGCTTGTGTGCACCAAAATGTTTAAGATGTTCTGTCAATTGAGGTGAGTGCAGTGCACTTTGCTTTGATCTTTTTGGGGAGCTGGATTGGAGCTGGTGACACAAACACTGGGAAAACTGATCGGGAGAGCTAGCACTGTGATTGGCAGCACTTCTGAAGCTGTGGTGGAGAGGAAGTCACTGAACAAACTGCCATCCATCATGGATATTCCTGGCAACACCACCATGTAAATCTTTAAAAGAGTGATTCAGGTCTGTTGCGCCAAAGATACAGGAAATGCACCGATTTCTGTGACTAGAATCATGTCTGTTTTTAATACAGTTTCCTCTGAGGACTTGAAGATCACTGACATCATCACTTTTAACCTCATTGTTTCTGCAGAGAAATTTCTCCAGAGTCTCTGAAACATTTGATGACTGTAGAGGATGAACTATTTCAAGTCTTCACATCTTTATACTGAGGAACATTATTCTGAAATTGTTGCACAATTTGTTAATGGAGTTTTTTGCAGATTGGTCAAGCTCTGCCCACATTTCCTTCAAAACAACTCTGCTTTCTAAGAAGCCCTTTTAATATCAAATCATGTTACTGACCTGTTGTCAAGTAACCTAATTATTTTCAAAATGTCCTTCCATATGTTTCTATTTTAGTACCACTTATTTTTCCAGCCTTTTGTTGCCCCATCCCAGATGTTTTGAAACATATTGCTGATCAAATTTGATCTTTTTAATGATTGATGAATGTATTTACATTTTACACAGCAGCCCCATATTTTCATTACTGGGTTAGTACAATTTATCTGTCTGGGAAAAAATAATCTGTTGTTTAATGTTAACATTTTCTTCACAACACAGAGCACACACTAACCCACTTTATGTACAATACACTGTGGTTTAAAGAAATGAACATATATAGTGGGATTAGTATAAACTGTGACAAGGATTGGTATGGAATAGACTGACATAAGCAATCACTTGGCAGCAAGGTTGATTTGTAATGAATTAGTGTGGTCGGCACTTATTCTTTTTTGATTGGGTGACAGAAGTTGAAGGTAACCGTGGGAGAACCCTGCATTATTTTAAGAAAACTGCATTTTAAACACCGTCACAGCTGGCACTGATCGGCGGAAAAACGCCGTTTTTCCCGGGACTCAGCTGTGTGACGTAAAACGCGGTGTTCAAAAGCTGGTTAAAACGACATTATTTCCACCTCTCGGAAGGGGCGTTCAGTACAGTGTTCTGATTTATTAAACAGTGATTTTTACATGATGTGTTAACCAGACAGGTCAGAAAAGTGGTGAATTTTGGCACACTGGTTGTTGAATTACACGACTTGTTATGACATAAATATAATTCCATAAGTTTCCCTTTACTAATCGTGCATCCTGTTCCAGGTATTTTATGTTCAGGTTTTTCCATGTCCCGTGATCTCAGTGTTTAGTGTGCTGGTGTGTTTACTAAACAATGTTTAGTGCTCCCAGTTTAGTTTATTGTGAGCTTTGTCTTAGTCCCCTTCTGCCTTTCATTTATATTGTTCATACAACCTGAATAAAAGGCTCGCTTTGTGTTAACTTCATTCCAGCCTCGAGTGACTGCTTTTTGGTCCACACTACAAAGAAAAGGCAGACTCCTGATACCTTGTAGTTTCTGTCTTTCCACAGGTAAGTATATTTCAAACTAGAGCTGGGCGATATATCGAGTTTTTAAAACATATCGATATATTTTTATACGAGATATAAGATGTGACAATATCCTTTATATCGATATAGACTATGTTACGTTATAATTATAGTTGTGGAGCCGCAGGTTTGCCTCTCTTTCGTCCACTTTTGTCTCTACCAACGTT